TAATAATTTTAAAAAGAAGAAAAGAAATCCCAAATAATAAATTAGAAGAAGAACAAAGAAGATAAGAATAATATTAAGAAGAATAATTTTAGATATTTAATACATTTTTTAAGAAAAAAAGAAGAAATATAAGAAAAGAAAAAAAAAAGAAGAAGAAGAAGAAATTAATAATAAAAAAAAGAAGAAAGAAATAATAATAAAGATATCTTTTATTTTTAAAATAATAAAATTTTTAAGAAGAAGAAAAAGATAATAAAATAAAATAATAAAATCTCAAGAAGAAAAAATAACAAGAAAAAAGAAAAAAAAAAAGAATAATAAAAAGAAGAAAAAGAAAAGAAGAAAATAATTGTTAAAAATAAGAAAAAGAAAAAAAATAAAATAATTTTATAATAAGAAGAAAAAATAAAAATAAGATAATAATAAGAAGAAGAAGAAGAAGATAATATGAATAATAATAATAAAAAAGAAAAAAAAGAAATAATTATAATTTCATAAGAAGAAGATAAAATTTTTTTAATAAGAATCTTTAATTTTTTTAATAATAATTTAAGAAAAGATTTTTAATAATAAGAAAAAAAATGAATAAAAAAGAAATAATAAGAATAAAATATAAAAAATAATAAAATAATAATAAAAAGAAGTTTATTAATAAAATAATAAAATTATTAATAAAAATTTCATATGAAAAATAAATTTAATAAGAAGAAGAAGAAGAAATAATTATTTTAATAATAAAAGAAGAAGAAGGAGAATAATAATAAAAATTTTAAACATATCATTTTTATGATAATTTGGAATTTTTAAGAAAAAAAAAATAAAAAATTAAGATTAAGAAATAGAAGAATAAAAAAGAAAAAGAAAAAGAAATTGAAAATTAAAAATAAAAGAAGAAGAAGAAGAAGAAAAAAAAAAATGAAAATAAAATTGTAAATTAAAAAAAATAGTTTGGAGAAAAAGAAAAAATAATAATGTAAGAAGAAAAAAATAAGAAAAAGAAAAAAAAAGAAGAAAAAGAAATAATAATGGCAACAAGAAAATAATAAAGATTTAAAAAAAAATTCAATAAAGAAAAAAATAATAATAATAATAATAATAATAGTAATTTTAAAAATAAAAAATAATAAGAAAAAATAAAATAAATAATAAAAAAAGAAAATGAATAATGAAAAAAAAATAAAATTAAAAATAATAAAATAATAAAAAAGAAAAAAGTAGAAGAAGATAGAAGAAAAAATGAAGAAAGATAAGAAGATAAAAAAAAATAATAAGAAGAAATAAGAAAATAAAAAGGAATAATAAGAAGAAGAAAATTGTAAAAAAAAAAGATTTTCAAGAAGAATATATAATAATTCAGAAAGAAAAGAAGAAAAGAAGAAAAGAAGAAGAAGAAAAGAAGAATAATAAAATAAGAAGAAGAAGAATTGTTTATAATAATAATAATAAGAAGAAGAATAAAAATAATAAAGAATAATAATAAATTAAATAATAAAGAAGAAGAAATAATCTTAATAAGAAGAAGAGAAGAAAAAAAATAAAAAAGATAATAAAATTTCAAAAAAGAATAAGAAAAAAAGAATAAATATAAAAATAAAAGAAATTTTAAATAATAAAAAAGAAGAAAAATAATAAGAATAAAAAATAAAAAAAAAAAAAAAAAATAATAAGAAGAAGAAGAAGATGAAAAATAAAAATAATAAATAATAAAAGAAGAAGAATAATAATTATAATAATAATAAGAAAAAAAATTTAATAAAAAGAAGAAGAATAAGAAAAGAAAATAATAATAATAATAAGAAGAATAAGAAGAAAGAAATAATAAAAAAGGACAATAAATAAAGAAGAATATAAAAAAAATTAATATAAAATTTTTTTTTTTTGAATTTAATAATATAATAATAATAAAAAAGAAGAAGAAGAAAAGAAATAATAAAAAGAAGAAGAAGAAAATAATTTCAATTTTTTTAATAATAAAAAATTAAATTTATAATTGATAAAATTAAATGTTAATTATAATGAAAATGAATATAAAAAGAAAAAAAATATTGAAACATAATAAATAAAGAAATCTAATTCAATAATATTCAAAGAATAATGAAAATGAATTATAAGAATAAAAAAATAGAATAATAATCCATTCAAATGAATAATAATTCTAAGATAAATATAATAATAATAATAATAAAGAATTTTTTAATAAAATAAAAGAAGAAAATAATGCAAAAAAATTAATATATATTAATAATAAGAATATAATAATAAAGAAGAAGAAAAAGAAAAGAAAATAACTGAATCCAAATTTGAAACACGCCTGTTACGTATTTATATAATTTGATGATATATAACAAAATTTTGCCGGGAATATTAGTTTTCAACCCAAAAATCAGCATTTGTTGATGGCCTTTTTTAAACTGTATAATATATGGGAAGATACATTATTATATATATATATATTTTATTTTAAAAACATAAAAGATGAAATATTATCTCATAAAAATAAAAAAGAAAACTATTTTAAATCTTTAACGTCATGAAGATATCCATTTTTAAAAAAAACCAGGCATTTTAATAATTTTGTATTAATAATTTAAATATGTTTTATTCATGGACATTCCATAAAATTTTTTCAAAAATGAAAAATAAATATATCATATTTCTAAATATATATCAAAATAAAAATTATATATGTCATTTCATTATTTTTTATTATAACAATTTTATTCAAACCATGATTTAATCATTCATATATATATATATTTTAAATTATTTAAAATATGACGAATCAAGATGATTTTTGTTTAACATTTCCCGTTTGTCCGTTTTAATGAAAAATTTAAAAATTGTCCGTCAATTTTGAACAAATTGTTCATTCCCAAAATAATAATAATCGTCCCGTTTTCCCAATAAAAAGTGAAATTTTTTTTTTAATTTGTCTTTTCTTTTTACTTTTCTTCTTTTCATTTTTTTTTTTTTTTTTATAAATTAAATTCATTTATTCAATATTTCTTCAATTTTGTTTCTTTTATTTTTTTTTTATTTCTTTTTTTATTTATTATTATTAAAATTCTTATATAAATATATTCATATTAATATTTATAACGGATCATTATTTGAACATTTATAAGGTTCGATAACATATCTATTTCGGCAAAAATTAAATTCTAATAAATAAAAAAATTAAATTTAAAAATATATTTAATATAAATATAAAAATTTCTTTTCTATTCTAATATATATATATATATATATATATATATATATATATATATATATATATATATATATATATATATTATATATTTGTATTTGTTTGTGTGAATAATTCATGAATTTGTAAATTGATTGCACGTTTATCGAATTAAAATAACTGATCCAAGTTGTGACTTTTGGATAATAAGTTTGACATTACTGTAATTATTGAACAATATAGTTCATGCCACTTTGACAGAAAATTTACCAGTAAAAATTCGTTTATCACCATATTTGTACAAGAACGCAAAACTTTAAAAATTTAAAATCAAACTCAGCGTTGCTATTGCACGCTCCAAAAACAATAACTCATTTTCAATAGCATTTTCGGATACAACAATACATATATTTTCGTTGTCCTCTTATTACTGAGAGAAAAAAAAAGAACAACATCTATTCCATACCTGAAGATGTCTGTAGGAACAGACGAAAGCTTGTAGTAAAAATAAGAACTAATGCAGCAGAAATTTATAGAAACAAGGATCTTTTCATTCATAACAGGTTCGGAGGTTTTTTTTTATATTTTGAATTGTTTGCGACGATGGATTTCTCGCCAATTAAATCATTAACCTTTGCATTTGTTTTTGTGTGAATAATTCATGAATATATATATATATATATATATATATATATATATTATATATATATATATATTCTAATTCTCCGTCCCCAAATTCTCTAAATATATTCATTACGTTTTTTTTTTTATTATTTGTCTCTCTAAACTAAATAAGAGTTTTTGAGACAGGAGGATTTTTTTTTAACAAATTTCCAGAGTACTTACTTTGCCGTGATATCTGTCCTCCCTTTTATTTAAAAAAATGCTGGACCACGTCTCAGTGAAAATAAAGACGAGGACTCGAGGAACAAACTGACGTATGGTTCTACAGAAGGATGCTAGGGATACCATGGACCGAACATTTGAACAATAACGAGGTTTTTGGAGAGGAACAAAAAAAATGGAAACCCATAATTTAATTATTAGCAAGAGGTTGCTTAAATTCCGGGGACACGTAATTCAAGATATTAAATAATTGGAGAATATGATTTCATCACAAGGCGGATAGAAGGAAATAGAGAAAAAATTTAGCAACTTTGACATAACTAGCGTTTTAAGCAAGTGGATGACGGAACAGGCTTTGGGGAGATGTGGAAGGAGGTTTATTTCAAGACATATTGATATTTGCTATAAAAATAGAAAAGAAGTGGAGAGCCATGATCGAATAAAATGAAGGAAACGGTACATAAAGGAAAAAAAATTTAAATCATTTTAAACTTTCTAATTTCTTTTTTTTTATTTTTTTTTTTTTTTTTTTTTAAATTATCGCGTTTGTCCCCTTCCTCTCTCTTTATCCTTTGCATCTTATCTTTGTTTTTTTTTTCACAAACACCATCTAATATTTTCCCTATCATTTATATTTTACCAATTTATTTTTTCTCTCTAATTAGCAAATTTCTTATATATAAATGTTAAATATTTTCTTTAACTATTCGTCTTTTCTTTCTTTTTAGTTGTCTTTCTATTTAAAACATCTCTCGGCCTCTTTTCAGTGTCAGTTCTTTCTTTAACAATTTATTTAATCTCTCTATTTAATTCATCTCTCCCCTTCTCTCTCTCTCTCTCTCTTTCTCTCTTTCTCTCTTTAATCATTCATTTTTCTTTCTTTTTGTTTACCTTTCATATCTCTATCATATCTCTTACTATTCACTCTCATTTCCTTCCTTACCAATTTCCTTTATCGCTTTATTTAATGTATCTTTCTCCCTTCTATTTTACCATTCATATTATCTTTCTTTTTATTCTTCTTTTTTATTTAAACCTTGTTCTCTCTCTCTATATCTTCAAAAGGTTCTATCATTTAACATTTCTTTCTTTACAAATTTCTTTTCCTCTCTAATTAACACATTTCTTTCCCCCACTATCTCTTTGTCTTTTCTTTCTTTTTATTTGCCTTTCTATTAAAAGCATCTCTCTCACTCTTTTTACTCTCATTTCTTCACCCGTTTCATTTTCTTTCTCTTTTATTTATTTACTAGCAGTAGAGCCCGGCATTGCCCGGGGATGTAACAGTAAGAGATAGATCAAGTATCGACCATCATAAAGACTGAAAAATAAAATTGACAAAGATTATTGTTTAAGGTTGACGGACACGCATGTCTTAATTAGTTTTTTTTTTTTTTTTTTTTTTTTTTTTTTTTTTACGAATTGGTCAAACCCAAACTCAAACAAAAACATTGTTTTCAATCGTTATGAGTCTACCGATTGAATAGAATTTTATTATAAACAATTGTCTTGTAAATGGAATTTTAAAAGCATTCTGAATGTAAAAATAAAAAAAAAAAATGTACAAGACAATAAGAAACACTACCTGCCAAAAAAAAAAAAGTTTTTTTTGAAATCAGTTGAAAAAATGTAGGAAATCCGATCCCATATATAAACGAACACACACACACACACACACACACACACAAACCTGGGTTTTATAATAAGTATAACTCGATATGAGTTGTCCCCCCTTTCATTCTCAATGATGCCTCTTAATCATGTTTTCAAATTGATTTCGTGCAAAAACAATTGTGTTTTTCCAATTTTTGGCACTGTCAGAACCACTGCAAGGTAATTTTATGTAGTCCTGTGAAGTTTTGTTGAAATCGGTTGAAAAATGTAGGAAATCCGATCCAATATATAAACGAACAGACACACACACACACACACACACACACACACAACCTGGGTTTTATAATAAGTATGATTATTCTACTTACACTGATGTAAACTTTAATTCGTCTGACGATTCTCTCCCTCACACATCATTCTCACTACTCACTCCTCCTCTCGCTTCATATCTTCTCTCCCTCCTCTACTCATTCCCCCCCCTCGAAATTTCCCTCTCTCGTTCTCTTTTCTTTTCGTCCCTCTCATTTTATCTCACTCTCTTGCTCACACCATTCCTCTTTCCTTTCTTACTGCTCACTCCTCCTCTCACTTCATATCTTCTCTTCCATCTCTACGTATTTCCCCAAAGATCCCCCCTCTGTGCATCTTTCTTATTCCTTTTATCCTTTTCTTCCTTCTTTTTGTCTCACTGTCGCTCTCTCTCTCTCTCTCTCTCTCTCTCTCTCTATCTATCTATCTATCTATCTATCTATCTATCTCTCTCCATTCTCGCTTCATATCTTCTCTTTCACATCTACTCATTTCCCGAAAATCCTCTCTCTCTCCACTCTCTTCTTCTCTTTTTCCTTTTCTTCGAACATCTTTCTCTCTCTCTCTCTCTCTCTCACACACACATTACACATTCAAAGATGTTCTCTTACTCCGCAATCATCTTATCGCTTCATATTTTCTCTTTCTCCTCTACTCATTTCCCAAAAGATCCCCTCTCTCCATCTACTCTCCTTTTTCCCCTCTTCTTTTGCTTCACCCTTTCTCTCTCTCTTTCTCTCTCTCTCGCCATTCTCTCCTCCTCGCTTTTTCTTCACACCTTCTCACTCTTCCTTTCGCTTCTTATCTTCCACCTCCATAAATTTTCCTAATCTTCTCACACTTTCCTTCTCTCTCACACACACAAAGTCCTCCCTTTCTCTCATGCCTTACCCCTCCTCTCGCTTTATATCTTCTCATCCATCGCTACTTTTCCTAAAAAATCACATTCTCTCTATCTCTCTTCCAGATTTTTTATGGACTCTTTTTGATCTTTCTCTTTTCTCTCTCTCTCTCTCTGAATGTCTCTTCACACATTTTTCTCCCTTCCTCACTTTAAATCCTCCTTCTCTCGCTTAATATCCTCTCTTCCACCTCTATTCACTTCCCCAATGTTCCCCCCTCTTCATCTCATTCCTTCTTTTTTTTTCTTTTCTTTCCAAAAACATTTCTCTCTATCTCTGAATCTTTCTCCTTTCTCTTTCTGTTCTCCTCTCTCTTCATATCTTCTCTTCGTCCTCTACTCATTTCTCAAAAGATCACCCTCTCCCCCTTTCCTTTCTCTTTTTCTTATTTCCCCTCTTCTTTTGTCTCACTATATCTCTCTCACCATTCTCCCTTCCTCACGTACTCCTCACTCTTTCTCTCACTTTATATCTTCCCTTCGTCCGCTGCTCATTCCCCAAAATATCACCCTCTTTCCGTCTCTCTTCTCTTTTTTCTTTTTTTCCCTCTTCTTTTGTCTCACATCCTCTCTTTCTCCCTCGCCACTTCCCTCTTTTTCCTTCTTTTACTCTCTCTTTATCGTCAAGTCTCTAACCAATCTTACCTATAAAAGATTAACGTAACTGTACAGAATGCACCTGTCAGACTGATGTAATGAATATGCATACACCTGGGTTCCCCCTCACAGTAACATGATTGGCTGGTGTCAGCCATAAATACAGACTAATTTGGAGGTACATGGTTTTGCGCCCATTGCCTACAGCCATTGCCTACGATTATTGCCTACGACTACGACGTGGACCAGTCATTACGGTTACCTGCTAGTTTGTCCTACTCGGTTACAGTAGTCCAAAAACCACTTAGCTACTTCGAACAAATATATCCCTTTCCGGAACATATCACAGGCCAATGATATCAGGATATCAATAAACAGGTTAAAACTCTTGGATATCCCCTCGATATTATTAATATTCGCCACGATTAAATAGAGTTGATTTTAGAAGTATACATTAGTGCCAGCGATTTCACTGTAGGGATCTGGTAGGACACTGACTAACAATTTGCACCTGAGCATTTGGAATTGTATTAATTGTTTTTTCAAATTCCTGATAATCACAATTAAAAGTAAACGACGCCATAGAAAAACTAAAATATTTCAGTCCGTCATAAGATTTATTCTTAGGAAATAAAGAATTTGGATAGACAAAAAAAAAATTACACTGAGTAAAATATAACGAGATTTATTCTGAGTAGAGTAAGAATTTGGGTAGACGAACTAAATTTAGTACCTCATAAATAAGATTTATTCTAAGAAATATACGAATTTAGATAGATGAACAAACTTCAGTACGTCTTGTGTAACCGGATGTATTCTGAGGGGGAAAATAATTTGAATAGACGAACATATTCTATTGGGTAAATTGTAACAAAATTTATTCGGAGGAGAGTAAAAATTTGGGTCGACAAACAAATTTCAATACATCTGATATATCAAAATTTATTCTGAGTAGAGTAAGAATTTCGGTGCGTCACATGTAACAAGATTTATTCTTAGGAGATGAAGAATTTGGATAGACGAAAAAATTCCATTGGGTAAAATCGAACAAGCTTAATTCTAAGCAGCGTAAGAATTTGGGTGGAGTAACAAATTTCAGTGCGTCATATATAGCAAGATTTATTCAAAACAACGTACGAATTTTGATAGTCGAACAAATTTCAATGTGTCTCATCTAATAGGATATATTCTGGCGGGTGGGGGAGAATTCGGATAGGTCAAATGTAACAAGATTTATCTTGGGGTGAGTAAGAATTAGATAAAAGAACACATTTCAGTGCGTCTTATATATCAAGATTTATTCTGAAGACAGTAAGAATTTGAATAGTGATGTAATGGAATAACCAGTCACCCCCATGAATGATTACACTATAGGTAGCAAGTACTTATAAAGTCAACCGTCTACGAGAGGACAGAGAGAGGAGGTGAGAGCCGCCTCTCCATTTTGAGGGTCGGACGGGCCCTACTGACATCGGTTATGTTTAGTTTATTATTAGGTTCATCTCCCCCCCTCTCATTCTTCATTATTAGATTTTTATGTATGATATTTACCATCATTAAATTTTTATGGCATGGGGGCGCGTTTTGTAGGTCCCCCTTGAGAGAATTGCGGTATTGTGGTGTATGTAGGATTGAATGGTGACGGATGACTTTTTATGGTGAATGTGGAAATCGTAATGAGTGAATGGATCGTGAATCGGATCAGCTAGGTATAGGATAGTTAGTGCCAGCCTCAACCCCTCCCCTTTTTAGATGTGCCAAATTGTTTGTTTTTTTACAATAAATACTGTGAGAGAGAGAGAAGACGCAAGCATGTCCGACCTTCCAATTAGTGGCACTCACTACTAGATTGATCTGTGTGTATAACTGTACCGTATTTCATATTGTACTTGTTGTGTACAATAAACCTTTCTTCTAGTATCCACCTGGTGTTATGTGTTTATTCTCTTAGCACGGAGTATAAGAGATAGACAAAAAAATTCCATGAGGTAAAATCTAACAAGATTTATTTGGAGCAGTGTAATAATTTGGTTAGTTGAAGAAATTTCACTGTACTTCATTTATCAATATTTATTCTCAGAGTAAGAATTTGGATAAACCAACAAATTTCATTGGATTAACGGTAGCAGGATTAGTTCTGAGGAATGTAAAAATTTGGTTAGTCAAACAAATTTCAGTGCGCCTCATGTAACAAGATTTATTCTGAGTAGAATACAAATTTAGATAGACGAAAATATTTCAGTGCGTCTCATGTAAAAATATTTATTCTTAGGAGAGTAAGAATTTAGACAAACGAACAAATTCCATTGGATAAAATGTAACAAGATTTATTCAGATCCTACCATGAAACAAGATTAATTCTGAGTAGAGTAAGAATTTGGTCAGTCGAAGCATCCCATGTAACATATTTTATTCTGAGAAGAGTAAAAATTTAGGTAGACAAACTAATTTGAATGTGTCTCATGTAACAAGATTTATTCTGAGAGGAGTAAGAATTTGGTCAGTCGAAGCATCCCATCTAACATATTTTATTCTGAGGAGAGTAAGAATTTAGGTAGACAAACTAATTTCAGTACGTCACATGTAACAAGATTTATTCTAAGAAGAGTAAGGATTTGGGTGGACGAAGGAATTTCAATGAGTTATTTGTAACAAGATTTATTCTAAATACATTAATAATTGGATATATGAATAAATTCCATTGGGTGAAATGTAACATAATTTATTCTTGAGGTGTGTAATAATTTGGGTAGATGAACAAATTTCATTGTGTCACATGTAACAAGTTTTATTCTGAAGAGAGTAAGATTTTTCGTCGACGAAGAAATTACATTGCGTTACATGTAAAAAGATTTATTCGGGAAAGCATAAGAATTTGGGTAGATTTTCATTAGCTTCGCCGATCATCAAGAGTGACATCCCAAATTATTAGTTACCAATTTGAGATGTTAATATCAAACAGATTCAGGCAATCAACTATTTCAGTAGCGTTGTAACAGATGAAGAAAATTATAACGTAGAAATTCGAAGGTCCATTGGAATAGCGAAAGATGTGTTTCAAAAACTAAATTATTAAGAAACAGAAAAAATTCTTTCGACCAAGCAAAAGTTTACTGAACTGGTATATAATTCCAAACCTCCTATGTAACAGTGAATGTTGACCGTTATTGTTCCAGATGAAGAAAAGATTTGCGGCAACAGATTTGTAGTTCTACAGAAAGATGCTGAGAATTCGATGGTTATTTTTAGATGTGGTCAACAACGCACGACCAGGAGCTAAACAAACTCGACTATCTTGTCAAGGCTAACAGTCAGAGATGAAGGTATCAGAACGAGAAGGGTTTACAGTTTTGTTAGAATCCTCTTGTTATCGGACTCCTCTAAACATCTTCTAGGTGGCATTATATAAAAGATTCTAAAAAGTAAACGAATCTCTCTCTCTCTTTCTTTCTTCCTATTCAAATACAGAAAGTCGTAGTGACAAGATTTGTGTCATTTGCCCTTTTAGTCTCCGTGTGCAATGACATATTACTCCCAACCGAACCACGTGGGGTATCGCATACAATATCACCACAAAAACATATACATCTCCATTCAAAAAAAAAAAAGTAAATATCCCAATTCTACAAATGTGATAACACCGCCAGAAAATGAATAAACAAAGTTACTTTCTCAATTTCAGGAGTATATTCGATATAAAATGGATTTTTCTGGTTTTTTTTTTCTTCGCTATGTTACCCCTAGTTATTTTTTTTTCTTCGCTATGTTACCCCTAGTTATTTTTTTTTTTTCGCTATGTTACCCCTAGTTATTTTTTTCTTCGCTATGTTACCCCTAGTTATTTTTTTTCTTCGCTATGTTACCCCTAGTTATTTTTTTTCTTCGCTTGTTACCCCTAGTTATTTTTTTTTTTCGCTATGTTACCCTAGTTTTTTTTTCTTCGCTTGTTACCCTATGTTACCCTTTATTTTTTTTCTTCGCTATGTTACCCCTAGTTATTTTTTTTTTTTCTTCGCATGTTACCCCTAGTTATTTTTTTTCTTCGCTGTGTTACCCCTAGTTAATTTTTTTTTCTTCGATATGTTACCCCTAGTTATTTTTTTCTTCGCTATGTTACCCCTAGTTAATTTTTTTTCTTCGCTATGTTAGCCCTAGTTATTGAATAACAGCATATTAAAAGACTCTGTGTAAAGCGTTTCGAACTCCCGAAAGACTTCCTCAGATAAAAGTAATGTCTTTTTTATCTTTATGGAATTATATAAATGTAGGAAGGAGAAAGGGAATTAAAAAAAAAAAACGCAATTGTCGGTTATAATAATGCAACAATAAACTTTGAAGATATTTGAGCGGCAAAATTTTAAATTTTCAAATTCATTTTTTTTTCTTAGACGTGTCAGGGGGATGTAGTTTAATCGATTTCATTCAATTTCCTTATGCTTTTGTTTTTGATGTTATCACTTTTTATTATGACGTATCCAACATTCTGATGGTAGAAAATCTTCTCAAGGAAGGTGAAATATTGTTAGATCCTGGCCCCAAATTTATTGTGGGTTATCTAGCAATCAAAGCAGTTTCTATA